ATGTTTTTTTGGGTCTGGCTTACTTCACTTAATATGATTTTTAACTAGAACTTCTTCATGTCTTCTCTTCTATCAAGAATTCTAAAATCTTTGAATTTCCTCTTTTGGAACTTTCTTCCCTTATTGCAAATTTAAGATAAAACTTTGGCATATACTTTACTAATTTAGCAGTAGAGTCAAATTCACAGTAAGATGTGAGTCAACAAAAAGGGAAAAATCAATTATCCAAGTGTGTGCATGGGTGCACATGCGTGTGCGCGCACACACACACACACAGCAAAACCAGTCACCCCCCACATGCACACGCACAGCAAAACAACCCCAACTTTCAGGGCTGCAATGTTTGCCATTCAATAATAACTATTTGGAGAATTGGTAACAGTGTGGGAAATAATTTAATATCTTATATAAAGTAGTGGTAATGAGTTCTAGTTACCTATCACTGCATGACTAACCACATTAAAGTATTCTAGTTCTGATTTTTAAATGCTGAATTTCTAGAAATGTCCGTTATCCTGTGTCTTTAGTGGTTTAATGAACAAAACAGCCCTGCAATGTGATAGGGGAGGCAGTGGTTCCCTCACCCCCCTTCTTAGGAATCGGGTGCAGCAAAGCTGAGGGGCAAGGGACAGTGAAGGGAAAGGCACCACACAGTAAGTAGCATTTTAACACCTTTTCTTCATTTAAGCCATGGCTTACCACTAGGATATCAGATCCCTGAAAAATGTCTAATAGCAGGTGTTAATTACAATGATTAAAACGCATTTAATTGTGACTAAAATTAAACTAGAACAAAATTAATGACTTAGGATAATACATAGTTCTTTAAAAACCCTCCCTCCTCTTTCTCCCTTTCTAACAGTCTTTGGTGGGTTTCATATATGGGGTGAATTTGATCAAAGTACACTGTGTGCTTCAAATATCACTGCAACGATGCCTTCATACAATTAATTTATGCTAATAAAAATTTAAAAGATAATGTATCTTTGATTCATAATACATAAAACATTGCTAAGGTCATTGAAGCCCATGAAAAAAAAAAAACTAAGCCTGGATAGGTTTATAGCTTTCATTTATATTTTCTTCCTAAAGTCAAAGAATGACAAATTACTCATACCTGAAAAGGACAAAAATTTGAACATGAAAATTTTAGTTCACAAATACGATCAAGTATTTTACTCTCCAACTCACATTCTTCATTTAGCTTATAATTATTTGATCACTCACAGCCAAATACATAATGTTTTGAAATTATGTACTGATATAACATTAAAACTTGGGTTTCATTGTGTGCACCTGACAGATGTTTACATAATACCATATTCCTTATTTATTGTGCTATTTCTCAGGCAGAATCTTTTAATCTGATGTATCAACCTTTTAGAATTCAGGCAAGAGAAATAGAGGAAAGCAGTTGAGCAAAACAAAAATAAAAATCCATCAATGTCATTTATATATTTCCTTGTCCTTCATAAACTTGAGTGACATTTCAGCAAATTTTGCATATTTTGCTGTCTCAGTCCTAATGAGCTTGGACTCTCTTCTGCAGAAGAGAAGTTGAGAGTAAATGTTGTTGATCTTCTGTGCACTTTATTAGGGATACAGCTAAAATGAATGACAGAATGCCTGGACTCCTAGTTTCCTAGGATTATAAAGTGCTTTGGTGTTCTGGCTATTAAAGAGTTGAAAGAGGAGTCTACAAATGCGATCACTGGTGATTGACAAGCGCTGAGCGTGGCGCTGTCCCTTCAGGATTTGAGAGACTAGGAGAACTTTTGATGTTGGGCAGAGCCCAGCAGCCAAATGAGAGGAGGATGGATGGCGTGGGGCTCACCAGGCAGCCACTTCTCTTTGAAGGTTTCTAGTTGATGAAAATCAACCTTGCCATGAAATCAGAAAGGACTTACTAAAGGAGCCATCACCAAATACAGAAGATATATTATAAAATAGAAACCGAATGTTATTAGCACATCAAAGACAGAAAGGATTTGCCTTGAGAATTATCATATGTTTTCAAAGAAGCTACCCCACACTGCACTTTCTACATATGGTCACTAGCACCCTTCAGTAGTGCATTCCCTAAGTTCAACCAACCCTACTAACTGAAATGCCAACAGGTCTTTCGTTACCATCTCATTACGCTAGCCACTTGTGGCCTCTAGAAGGACAGCGGTAGGTCAGTGGGTAAGGAATTTGCTCTCAGGTGCTCTTGCTCCCCATTCTTGCTTGGCATGTACTCTTGTAACGGAGTGCACCCAGTTCCCCTAAGTCTGGACACAAGGTATATCTACTGAAGCTACAACTCTGTGGTTATTTACAACCAACTGACCATGTGAATATGTAGGGCTTAGTCCTGAAAGTAATTTCTGAACTGTTAGTCAATTTCTTAAGGAGCTTTAAAATAGTGCACATACTATGCAGTTTACTTTATTTTATTGTAAAGGCATTGTACAGAAGGGTTGCAGTTACACAAGAAAGGTAATAAGTACATTTCTTGTCATGCATTTTACTTCCTATATTTCACCAAGAGTATCTTTTAGCCTCAAAATCTGAAATTTTTTCTAGATGGTTTTAGATAGTATGTCAGCTCATCCCTTGGGGGGGGGGTCTAACCATACGTAGGCTTTTGCAGTTGGGGTTAGTTGTATACTACATTTTATTTTGGTTTGGATTTTGTTTCCTTTCTTTGCATAAAGAGTTGTTTTGATAGGTATAATTAAAGAAAAAGGCAAGTTTCCCAATTATTACCTATTAGAACTAGTTTCTGTTTATTATTATTATTATTGTCATCTATTCATTTGATAAACCTTAAAATATCCTATTTTTCTACCAGTGGGTTAGAAGGAGTACCAGATATAAGTGAATAAACGTTAATGATTCTGTAATTCCCAATCCAAATGATGACCCGTTCCCTACTTTTAAAGAAAATGTTAGATTTAATTAAACAGTACATATAATTTGATCACAAGCTTTAAGAAGGCTGAATCATGTTATCATGCTGAATCTGCTCCTAAGCAGATAGCTGATATGGAATGAAACAATCTATATCTATTGCTGAACAAAGGTTAGGTTGATAAATTTGTTATTTTCTAAAGAGTTGTCTGATTAAAGGAGATTGCTATCCCAAGCACACAAGTAGAACCATAGAATACTGCAAGTATGATGAACTGGATAAAATGTAACAAACACTTGCTGTTGATCGTTTCTACTTCCAGTCAAATCCAATACATTTTGAATAAACACTGCTCATTTTTGCATCTTTATACAATCAGGCCAACTTGAGAAGATGGATGGACAGGTACTGATAATATCAAAGATCAATGATAATAGAAGGATTTGACCAATCAAGAAATTCAAAGAAAACTCCTAGGAAAACAGTAAATAAGCATGAAAACCCATGGAACACCTTCAAAAGACCAGAGCTATGAAGTGGGGAAAGGGAAGGAAGGTATGAGACCAAATCTATGAATGATGGGCATAAAAGGAGGAGGAGAGATACTCGACGATGGGATGTAAAGATATTGAACAAAAGAACAGCAGGACAAACCACAATGTTGAGACAGAGGTGTCTAAGTCAGGGGTCTTTCAAAATATCAAACAGGCAATATCAGAATAGAAACACCATAAAATATACTTTAAAAACTGAATATACATACACACACATACACAAAACAAAAAACAAATTTAAAAGCTACAAGAAAAAAGCAATGAGTCACAAATAAATTAAAACTCAGAAAAATAACAACAAATACTTCAACAGAAGCTCTGAAAGCAAAACGGCTTATAATGATATCTTCCAACCATAAAAGCAGAGTCACATAGATTAACATCCTCAGCACAGCTGTCCTTCATAAGCATGAAAGAGAAATAAAAATCTTCCATGTTACACAAACCTAAAGGAATTCATTATCACTAAGAAAGATACTTAAAGGAATCCTATAGATAGAATAGAAAGCTAAATAGAATAGGAAACTGAGTGCCACCAAGAAAATATAGGAGAGAATAAATCCAACTGAAAAGTATATTATCAAAAGAGGAATAAAAATGAAGCAAATAACACAAAAAAACAAAAAGTGACAGCAAATATTATTCTCTTTTTTTATACTAATACTGAATATCAGTGTTCTCAGTTCATTAGGAACAAATTTCTATAGGGGATAGTTGTTTTTCTTAAATGTTGTATTCTGACACAAAGTAATCACTATTGCTCTATAAAACAGTAAATCATGTAATTCAGTTTTGAATGAAATCACATCAAAAACAAGACTTTTCCAGGTGCTGGTGGCTCATGCCTATAGTCTTTGCTACTCAGGAGGCTGAGATCTGAGGACCATGGTTCAAAGCCAGCCCAGGCAGAAAAGTCTGTGAGACTTTTATTTCCAATAAACCACTCAGAAAAAGCCAGAAGTGGTGCTATGGCTCAGGTAGTAGAGGGCTAACCTTGAGCAAAAGAAGCCAGGGACAGCATCCAATCCCTGAGTTCAAGCCCCAGAACTGACGCACAAAAATAAAAACTATACTTTATATATTTCTTAGTTTATTGTGAGTTGTTCAGTATCACTGAAACAAGTCAAGAATAACCAAGTTTGGTTTTTTTAGATCTGCGGATAAGTGTCTGAAATTACTTTACATAACACGATCAAAAAGAAATAGAGCAGAGAGATTAAAAAGAGTGATATAATTCATGCAATTAGATGATACAACTAAAGAAAGAAATAGCATTCAGCTATAGCATTAAAGAAAATGAGCGAGCACAGATGTACAGAATCATAGTATAGAGGGTCTGAAGGTGAAGAGTTTTGATAGCAACCTACAGAACAGACGACACAGAATGACAGTGTAGAATACATGATCTCAAGGACTGTGGGAAGTAACTGATTCTATCATGACTGAGAGGACACCAAAACAGCAACAGGACGGTCTCGGAACAGGCTGCACCTGACTCCAGTATTAAAGTAACCCTATAGAATGTGGTAAAGATCAAGTTCAGAGTTCAGTACCTTTGCTTTATCTCTCATTGATCCTTTTCCCAGAATAGACATTTTAGCACCTGTTTCTTCCTGAAGCCTCTTCAAGGAGTTTCCTCTTGGTCCAAGCAATTTCCCCACAAAATTGAACTAGGAGACAAAACCAACAAATGTCTGATTAACTATAATAAAAATGTGTTTTGTACCAAGAATAGTTGAAGATTTATTAGGTTTTCTTCAACTTTTCCATTTAGAAGACTTACTCCATAAATACCAAGACATCCATGCAAGTATTTCAGATCTTCAATCCAAGACCCATTTTTAATTGGATATCCCTTCTTAAAGGAATGCCAAAATCAGTACAAGGTTAAACACTGTTTACTTCTCAATCAGTTACTTATCAGAAGAAATGAGGAGAATCTCACTGGTCTGCAAACTTTGTAAACAGGTATTTCTTTTCAAATAGATGATCAAAATAAGAAATGAGGACAGAAATGGTGGTATATACCTCCAGCTTTAGCTCCTTCTGAGTCTGTGAGAAGACAATCACAAGTCGGAAGGCAGTCTGAACAAAGCTAGTGAGAATGTATCCCACAGATAAATATAAAAATAACATAGCCAAGGCCATGGGGTAAGAAGTATAGTACAGTACTTGCCTATCAAGTTATAGAGGACATGGACTCAATCCTAGGCACTACAAAAGCAACCCTAAACAATTATTATAAAATTGTAAAATACCTTAAGTATAATGCCTGGATTTGTCAAATATTACTTTTGCCCAATATAGTCTCAAATTGGAAATTTACTCCTCAATAATGCATTCACTGTTAAAGAGTTGAGCTTTGAATCAGTAAATAAAATATGTGAACATAAAAAAAGGGTTAAGGAATTAAGAGATGCAGCTTGAGTGTTAGAGCATGAATCCTGAGCAGAAAGCTCAAGGACAGAAAGCAGAAAGCTCAATGCACAGGCCTGAATACAAAACCCGAGACTGGCACCAAAAAAGCTTACAACCCTGACACATAAAAAATGATTTATTGCAATGGCTTTTCTGTATGCCAATAATGAGAAAAGTGTGGCTGAAATTAGGAAAGCAACTCCATTTGTAATAGCCCCACAAAAAATAAAATACCTAGGAATTAACTTAACTAAAAAAGTGAAGGACCTCTATGATGAAAACTTTCAAATCTTGAAAAAGAAAATCAACACAGAACTAAAAAATGGCAAAGCCTCCCATGCTCCTGGATTGGAAAGATTAACATCGTGAAAATGGCAATACTTCCCAAGGCTATCTACAAATTCAACGCAATACCTATCAAAACTCCAACCTCATTCTTCAAGGAAATAGAAAAGGCAATCCAAAAATTCATATGGAACAATAAAAGACCCCGAATAGCAAAAATGCTCCTCAACGGAAAGAACACTGCTGGAAGAATATCAATACCAAATTTCAAACTCTACTATAAAGCCATAGTAATCAAAACAGCTTGGTACTGGCATAAGAACAGACCTCAGGACCAATGGAATAGAATTGAAAACCCAGAAATGAACCTACAGACCTACAGCCATCTAATCTTCGATAAGGGAGCTAAAATAATAGAATGGAAGAAAGACAGCCTTTCAGTAAATGGTGCTGGCAAAATTGGTTAACTACATGTAGAAAACTAAAGCTAGATCCTTATATATCACCCTGCACCAGAATCAACTCCAAATGGATCAAAGACCTTGAAGTCAAAGCAGACACTCTGAAAACATTACAGGATGGAATAGGAGAAACCCTAGGTCTCCTTGGCTCAGGCCGAAATTTTCTGAATAGAGACCCGGAAACACAACAAATCAAAGAAAGGTTGGACAAATGGGATTGCATAAAGTTGCAGAGCTTCTGCAGGGCAAATGACATAGCTAGCAAGATCAATAGAAAGCCCACGGATTGGGAGAAGATCTTTACTAGCCATACAATGGACAAAGGTCTCATATCTAAAATATACTTGGAACTCAAAAAATTAAACCCCCCAACAACAAATCCTCAAAGAAACAACTGCCCAATAAATAAGTGGGTGAAAGACTTAAAGAGAACCTTCTCTGAAGAAGAAAGAAGGATGGCCAATAGACACATGAAGAAATGTTCAACATCCCTAGCCATAAAAGAAATGCAAATCAAAACAACATGGAGATATCACCTCACCCCAGTTAGAACGGCAAAAATCAAGAACTCTAATAACAACAGATGCTGGAGGGGATGTGGACAGAAAGGAACCTTACTTCATTGTTGGTGGGAATGTAAACTTGTTCAACCACTTTGGAAAGCAGTATGGAGGTTCCTCAAAAGACTTCACATAGAGCTCCCCTATGACCCAGCAATCCCACTTTTGGGCATTTACTCAAATGTTTACAAACAAGACCACACTAAAGCTACCAGCACAACTATGTTTATTGCAGCATTATTTACCATAGCTAAGATATGGAACCAACCCAGATGCCCCTCAGTAGATGAATGGATCAAGAAAATGTGGTATATATACACAATGGAATTCTATGCCTCCATCAGAAAGAATGACATTGCCCCATTTGTTAGCAAATGGAAAAACTTGGAAAAAATTATATTAAGTGAAGTAAGCCAGGCCCAAAGAAACATAGGTCCCATGGTTTCCCTTATTTGCAATATCTCGTATATGTATGAGTCAAGCGGAAAAGGTCAGATAAGGTGATGTCAGGAAAATGAACCCTTAGATATGTATTTTAATGTTTTTTCTTTCATGCATGTGTCTCTAATGCATTTATAAGATTATCTCTTTGTTGCTTTGTATGTCCCTCCCCCACAGTATAACCCCTGCTTTCACTATATTTGATGTCAGTATAACTTGTGGAGGAGATGGGGAAAAACCAGTTGTTTAAGGATACAGGTGGACCTGTTGCAACAATGAGAAGTACAAGTTGTCCTTCCAAAACGAGCTTTACAACGTCGGTGCGGCGGGGGGGGGGGGGGGGAAGGGGGGGGAAGGAGAAGGATGGGATTGGGGGGGAGGGGGGAGGCTGGGAAGGGATGGGAAGGGTAAACCAAAGGAGGAGGCTGCAATGCTTGGTAAGAAATGTACGCATTATCCTGCCCATGTAATTGTAACCCCTTGTACAGTATGTTCACAAATAAAATAAAATTAAATTTAAAAAATGATTTATTGAAGTCAATTTTTTTGAGTTATATGCAAGTTCTTTATTCATCCTGAAATACTGATGGAAACAGATGTTCAAAAGCACTGCTCAGAGTATGAAAGACAATTACTAAAGGACCAAATGACCTAGATTTGTAATTACACCACAATTTACTCAAATTATATAGATTAAACTAAGGTAGGATCTTGAAGAACAAATAAAATAGTCTTTAAATTCAATATCTATCTTTTAGAACTATGATCTTATACTAATAAATAAATGTACCATATTTCTTCAGAGACTATCAAGGGGGAGGAACTGGCAGGCAGTGAAGAACTGGGAATGTCTACTAGTGGTTGGTGGTAGAGCTGCTTCTTTAGGTGATGTACAAGTTTTAAATTTGATCAGTTATGGATGCACAATATTGCATGATTTATAAATTATATCAATAAAATTTCCATTAAACAAAATAACAGTAAAGTATTTTAAAGGCACAAATCATATTTAAGGGTAAAAATGAAATATTTTCCCCTTGATTTCAGGATAAAGACAAAAGAACTATCATCACATTTATCCAATGTTCCAGTAAAGTTTGGACTGTGAGAAATACAATTAAATAGAAAAATGGAATAGTTAAATATTCAGAAATACTACACAAACATGGTCAATTGATTTTCAACAAATATGCTGATACAAAGAAATCTGAAATGTCTTTCAACAAATGGTACTGAAACAATTGCATACTATTTGCAAAAAAGAAAACAAAACAAAAGCATCTTGAAAGAAAGAAATCCTGTTCTTCAGGCCTAGAGTTCAGGCCCCACAACCAACCAAAAAAAGAAGAGCCACAGAAAGGGAAAAACTTTTACTCTGCATACATCTGAAAAAATGACTAATACCTAACATCTACAATGAATTCAGTAAAATCAATAGCAATACACACATACACACACAGAGCCCATAAGAGCTAAAATTAAAAAAAAAGACTGAAACCAAATGACAAAAATGTGGAATTACTAAAGCAATCATTCTTGGCAATTTAAAATGATGCAGCTACTTTAGAAAAAACTGCAGTTATTTATGAAGTTAAATATAAAGATTAAACCCCATTATGATCTAGAAATTTTACTCCTAAGTATGTATTGGAGATACTTAAAATCTTGTTGACAAGGTATACAAAAATGTTCGTTGACATTTTAGTCACAATCACCACTAAGCCAGATCTCAACTATGGTCTATTCTAGAAGAAACAGGTTTATACACAAGGGATTTGTTGCCGACTGACACACCACATGGGTATTTCTCAGAGACACTGGAGAGAAGGAAGGTAGACACAAGAGCACCACACAGTATGGGTGCTTCTCAGAGGCATCTGAGAATGAAGTCGGAGACAAGAGGCCCCACATAGTAAAGTCTGTTCTCACAGAATTCACTGTCAGAATGCCAAAAGGTAGTCGTCTTTTGAGAAGAAAAGCCAGAGTTAGACTGACTGGAGAGACAACACAATTGTTCTACCTCGTGTTGGAGGTGCCAGTACAACTTTGTCTGAACTCAACTTTGTGCCTTGAGTGTTACTCAATTGAAACAATGCTTCAATAAAGAATGGGAGGAAAAAGAGGCTAAAATATTTTTTTAAGTCATGAACCAATATATTACAAAGAAATACCATACTTAGCCGAGCACCGGTGGCTCGTGCCTGTAATACTACTCAGGAGGCTGAGATCTGAGGATCATGGTTCAAAGCCAGCCCGGGCAGGAAAGTCCGTGAAACTCTTATCTCCAATAAACCACCAGGAAACTGGAAGTGGCACTGTGGCTCAAGTGGTAGAGAGTGCCAGCCTTGAGCTGAAGAGCTGAGGGACAGCGCTCAGGCCCAGAGTTCAAGCCCCATGACTGACCAAAAAAAAAAAAAAAATACCAGTCTCAGGTATGATACCGAGGAATTGCACTAACACTTTAGAGACAGACATACCTCCAAACCATGGGGAGCACCCCAAACT